CCCTCAACACATCTCCATGTTGGGGAAATGTTGCTCACCCAAAAGCAACTGAGGGGGCCCTGGGACCCAGGTACATGGGAGATCTCCCAATATAATGTGCCTCCTACAGCACATTTTGGGGATCCCCCCCTGAACCTCAAAATGTTCCTTGAACCCTCAAATCTCTCTGAACACCCAAATTCCTCCCGCTTGTGTCAATGGGGCTCCCTAGGGCATCCAATGAGATTCGACTGCCCTGGGATTGATGGACCCCTCAGTCTTGGTAGACAGGGAGTCCCCCAAAGAGTTTTGTGGACCAGCCTGAATCCCCAAATCCTCCCTGCATCCCCCCAAATCCCCCCAAACCCAAAGCCCACAGCTCCAAAGCCGCCCCGGCTCAGCACAGTGGCACAGACTTGCTAAAAAAGGGGTGTTCCGAAAAGTGGTGCTCCCCCAACACCTGCCCTGGGGATCCATCAAGATGCTCTGGAACCCCGAACACACTGGGGGGACCCCAACATTGCTTTTGGTTCAGCAGTGAATTAGGTGGGCCTAAGGGGGTGGATCCCCAAAAGGGTCACCCCAATAAAGGGGCAAACCAAAACCACACTGCACCCCAAAGGGCCCTGGAGGCACCCAAAGCAATCGTGCTGCCCCTAAATCCTAGGGTAACCCCAAATCTCCCTGAAGCAGCACAAAAGCAGGCAGGACCCCCAAGTGGGGGCCTGGGGCAGCACAAAAGTCACCCACACCCTTCCATCACCCCGGGCCCCCCCAGATGAACCCAGGAACCCAAAAACCTGGAGGGGCCCCACCAAACACCCGCCCCCAACTGGGGGTACCCCAGAAAAGCTGCTCCCCCCCTCCAATGCCACCCAACCCCAAATTGCTCCTCGTTGCCCCCAAACCACACCCCATGGGGCATCCCAGCTCCCCTGTCTTTGGTATCAGGGAGTTGGGGGGGCCAGCCCCAGAGTGGGGGTTGCCTAATTTGGGATGTCCCACCAAAAGACCAAGGAGGTGTGGTGGGGGATGGAGGGTAGGAAGCTCTGCAGAGGGATCTGGACAGGCTGGATCCATGGGCTGTGGCCAATGTGTTGAGGGTCAAGAAGGCAAAGTGCAGGGTCCTGCGCTTGGGCCACAACAACCCCCTGCAATGCTCCAGGTTTGGGGAAGAGGGGCTGAAAACTGCTCATGGGAAAGGAGCTGGGGGTGCTGATTGATGGAGCTGAACATGAGCAGCTTGGGCCCAGGCAGCCAGGAAGCTCCCAGCATCCTGGCCTGGATCAGACCAGTGTGGCAGCAGGGCCAGGGCAGTGGTTGTGCCCCTGCACTGAGCACTGCTGAGGCCACACCTCGAATCCTGGGTTCACCTCTGGGCCCCTCACTACAAGAGAGACATTGAGGTGCTGGAGCGGGGCCAGAGAAGGGCAATGGAGCTGGTGCAGGGCCTGGAGCACAAATGTGATGGGGAAGGGCTGAGGAACCTGGGGGGGACCTGATCACTGCCTACAACTGCCTGACAGGAGGATGGAGCCAGGAGGGGCTGGGCTCTGCTCCCAAGGAACAAGGGATGGGACAAGAGGAAATGGCCTCAAGCTGCACCAGGGCAGGTTTAGATGGAGCTGAGGAACAATTTGTCCAGGAAGCTAGGGACCAGGTTAGGAAAGCTGAGGCCCAGTGTCCTGGGTTCAGCAGTAGCAGTCATTTTTTCTCCTTGGTAGCTAGTGTAGTGCAGTGTTTTGACTTTCAGCTCGGGAACAGAGCTGATAACAAGGATGTTTTGGTTTGGCCAAGGACTTTGTGAGCCTCATGCTCTGCCAGGGAGGAGGGGAAGCCAGGAGGAAGCAGAGACAGGACACCTGACCCAAACTGACCAAAGAGGGATTCCATACCACAGCACGTCATGCCCAGGATGTAACTGGGAGTTAGCTGGAAGGGCTGGGAGACTGCAGGGTTGGAGGAGGTATCAGTCGGAGCTTGGTCGGGCCTGGGGGGTGAGTTATCGGTCGGCTGGTGGTGAGGTGATGTATTCTCTTCCCTTGTTATTTCCTTTATCATTGTTGTTATTGGTGGTAGCAGCAGTTATCTGTGTTATACCTTAGTTACTAAACTGTTCTTATCTCAACCCGTGGGAGTTGCATTCTTTTCAGCTCTCCTCTCTGTCCCTCCGGGAGTAGGGGGAGAGCAAGAAGTGGGGGGAAGTGAGTGAACAAGCTGTCTGACTGGGTTTAAACCACGACACCCAGTTAGAATTCAAATAGGCTCGGGATGTTAAGGATAACAGGAAGGGATTCTTCAGGTATGTAGCAAATAAAAAACAGACTAGGGAGAACATAGCCCCCTTCCGGAAGCTCTTGGGAGAACTGGCTACACGGGATTTGGAGAAGGCTGAGGTTCTGAATGACTTCTTTGCCTCGCTCTTCACTGGCAAAGGCTCTGACCACACCAACCAAGTCTTGGAAGGCAGATGCAGGGACTGTGAGAATGAAGACCTTGGGCCCACTGTAGGAGAGGATCTGGCTCGAGACCATCTTAAAAACCTGAACATGCACAAGTCCATGGGGCCTAATGAAATCCATGCACAGGTCCTGAAGGAGCTGGCGAATGAAGTTGCTAAGCCACTGGCCTTCATATTTGAAAAAACACGGAAGTCAGGTGAAGTTCCTGACGACTGGAAAAAGGGAAATATAACCCCCATTTTCAAGAAGGGGAAAATGGATGACCTGGGGAATTACAGAGCAGTCAGTCTCACCTCCGTGCCTGGCAAAATCTTGGAGCAGATTCTCCTGGAAGGCATGCTAAGGCACATGAAAATCAACAAGGTGCTTGGTGACAGCCAGCATGGCTTCACTGAGGGGAAATCCTGCCTGACCAATTTGGTGCCCTTCTATGATGGGGCTACAGAACTGATGGACAGGGGCAGAGCAGTTGATGGCATCTACCTGGACTTGTGCAAAGTGTTCGACACCGTCCCACACGACATCCTTGTCTCTAAATTGGAGAGACATCAACTTGATGGATGGAGCACTCGGTGGATAAAGAACTGGCTGGATGGCCGCAGGCAAAGTGTTGTGGTCAATGGCTCAGTGTCCAGCTGGAGACCAGTAACGAGTGGGATCCCTCAGGGATCGGTGTTGGGACCGGTCTTGTTCAACGGCCTGCGGCCGTTACAGGGGGCGGAGTCAGGTGAGGGGAGCGGAGGGGTTACTCTCCCACCCTGCGCTCTGATTGGCTCCGCGGTGCAGTGGGCGGAGCCAGGCGCTGATTGGCTGCCGTGGAAGTGGGCAGGGCGACAGGAACAGAGTGCGCGTTGGCTGGGGGGGGGAAAGGAGGGAGATGGGAGGCGATGGGACCCCTATGGACCCCTATAGAACCCTATGGGGCAGGGACAGGTTCACACCCACTGCTGGCTCCCCCCATGGCTTTATATGGGGGCAATGGCGGTAATGGGGCAATGGGAGCAATTTGGGGTAACGGGGGGCAATGGGGGTAAAAGGGGGGTCTCGGTGTCTCGAGCTCTGCCCCCTGCATCCTGGTACTGGACCTGCTGCTGCTTCCCCCTCCAAGGAACTCGTAAAGAGACACCCCCTCCATGGTCATGATGCGCGGATTGACTCCGCAACTCGTTAAAAGTTGTAAAGTAGGTATGCTTTTTATTCAGCGCTGAGACGCACGGGGATAATTCCTCAAAGTCATGCGTACCTCAGTGTTGTTTCCCTGTATATTTATTCTCTAAAGTTATATATATTCATAAGGTTGCACAATACGCCTATACATATTCATGTCCTATCCCCGCTTCGTATTATAATGAGCCAGAAGGTCCTCTGCGCCTGCGCAGTGCCCCCTCTGGTCATGGGCAGGGGTCTCAAGATGAAGTAAATGAGTCTTCCTCCTCTGGATAGGGGTCTTCAAGATGAAGTAAATGAGTCTTCCTCTTCTTGCACTTTTCACCTTTTTAGTCTTTATGTGTGGCCTTAGAGTTTGGTCAGTGTCCCAGCCGTAAATACTCTACTTCTCCCCTTTATCAGTAGAGTTTGATCAGTGTCCCAGCCGTAAATCCTCTGCTTCTCCCCTTTATCAGTAGATACAGGCGTCTGCTTATTAACAGGACCGGAGGTCTCTGTTCTGCTTAGCAGGCATTTACAACAGATAGTCCTTTTGTTTAAACAAATTCCTCTAACCCCCTTGTACAACCCCCCTGTACAACTCCCTTGTACAATGGTCAACCCTCTGTATCAGTCAGACCCTGCAGGAACCCATAGAGACCCCCTAGAGAGACCCATAGAGACCAAACAGAGAGACCCATAGAGAACATATAGATCCACAGCCCACAGAGACTCATAGAGACCCCATAGAGACTCATAGAGACCCATAGACACCGCAGAGATCCTGAAAGCGACCCAAAGTGAACCACAGAGACGCCCATAGAGACCCCATAGAGACCCCATAGAGACTCCATAGAGACCCCATAGAGACCCATAGACTACAGGCACTACAACCCTGATCATGCAACTCGGCCCCCATAGAGCCCCCTTACGGTGGCGCCCAGCCGGGACTACAACTCCCATCATGCAGCGCGGCACCCATTGAGCCCTGTTATGGCGGCGCCCAGTTATGACTACAACTCCCATCATACCCTGCGGCTCCCATAGAACACCATTATACAGCCGCCAGGCGGTAGTACGACTCCCATCATGCCACGCGGCACGCATAGAGCACCACGAGGGCGTCGCCCAGCCTGGACTACAACTCCCATGATGCAGTGCGACACCCATACAGCACCACTAAGGCGGCGCCCGGCTTGGACTACAACTCCCGTCGTGCCGCGCGGCGCTCCCAGCGCGCCAATTTCACCCATCATGGCGGAGCTGGAGCTCCCCTCCGATCCCGAGCTGCGCAGGTTGGAGCCCGCGGGACCCCCCAGTGGGGGCTTTTGGGGTCCTGGGGGGGTTGGGGTGCTCCTGACCCCCTCTCTTTGTCTCCCCCCCACCTCCAGGCTGTGCACGGGGCCCTGTGCCCCCATCCGGGAGTACATCATGGGCCACGTGCGGCACCGCGGTGAGGGGGGCACCCCAACATCTGGGGGGAGGAACTGCAACATCTGGAGGGACCCCAAACCTCGGATCGGTCCCTAAAATACATGGCGGGGGGGGTGTGTGTGTGTGTTCCTATAGGAATGTGAAGAAGATCAAAGGGAACCTGCTGTGGTGTCCGCTGCACCCAAAAAAGGGGGGGGGACCCAAAGCTGCCCCCTCTGGGGACCCCCAAGCTCCTTGGAGAGCCTCCAAAACCCCTCCAAAATTGCATTGGGATCCCAAGACCCACCCCAGCACCCCCCAATTCCCCCTGTGACCCCCCCCAACCTCTTTTCTCCTCCCAAATCCATGCACAGGAGCCCCAAATTCCTTTAGGACAACTCCAAATCCCATTGGGATCCCCAGGAACCCCCAATTCCCTCCCATGACACCCCCACCGACCCCCCCCAACCTCTCCTTTAACCCCCGTTTCCTCCTTAACTCGGGGCTCAGGTACCAGCACCTCGAGGAGATTCAGGTTTGGGGGGGGGAGGGTTTTTGGGGGGCTGTATGGGGTTTTTGGGGGTCCCAGAGGGATGGGGGGGGGCAAGATTTGGGCGCGGGTGCAAATTTGAGGGGTGGTGGAGGGAGAAAGAATGGTGCTTAAGGATGGGGGGGTGGTGTCCTCAGGTGACCTTTGGTGTCTCTCCCCAGCGAGGGGCGGGGTCAAGCCCTTATATGGAAGTGCGCGAGGCCTTGGAGCAGGTGAGGGCGGAGCTTAAAGTGATGGGCGGGGCCGTGGGCGAGGCCGGGGAAGCGGTGCTGGAGCTGGGTGAGTTGACTGTGGGGTGGGATGGGGGGTAAAGGGGCGTGGCTACCGGTCACCTGACCTGAGGCTCTGCCCCCTTTGTTTCCTTGTAGAAGAGGCACTGGGGGCGGAGCTTAACAGCCAGGGGGCGGAGCGTCGCCGAGGGTCGGAGCTTCGCGCCCTGGGGGTGGAGGCGGTGCAGGAGGGGCTGCGGAGGGAGGGGGCCCAGATAAGCTCCGCCCACCCGTAAGCGAGGAGTGGGCGGGGCTTCCCCATGGGTATCCCAATGGAGGCGGGGGGCAGCATTCCCATGATGCTCTGCGCTTGCAGGGAGCCGGGGCCAAAGGTGGGACTAACGTCGAAATTGGCGGTAAGAAGGGGCGGGGCTTATTGGGAAGGAGGAGGGGCTTATGGACGGGGGAGGGGTCTGTGCGTGGCCACGCCCCCATTGCCCTCCCCCCGCAGGCCGTGTGCAAGCTGCGGGAGGAGGCCCTGAAGGAGCTTATGAGGGGTGGGGCTTAGGGGGAGGAGCTTAGGAGAGGGGAGGGACTTAAGAAATGGGGCTTTGGGAGGGGGTGGAGCTTGGGGAAGGGGCAGAGCCAGTGGGCTGCTGGGGGTGCGGCTTAAAGGGGGCAGGACTTCCCTTATAAGGTTCTGAGGGTGTGGCCCCAGGGCACTAGGGAAGGGGCGGGGCTACCGGTGGGTGGAGCCAACCGAGGGGCGGGGTTGCGTCCTCCCCCCCATTCCCCGTTGTTCCATTGCAGGAAGGGATACCCCAAAATCAGCCCTGACCTTGACCCCAACCCTGACGCTCAGCCCCCTATGAAGACCCTCATCCAGGTAAATGGGGGGACTTGAGGGGCACATTTGGGGGTGCTTTAGGGCTCGGAGCTCCCCATTGATGTGGGATCCCCCCTTTGCACCTCCCAGGACTGCTGGGTGGATGTGGGGGGACTCTGGGACCTCATCCACTCCTTGGCCTCCCGCCTGTCCCCCCTGAGGCTCCGGCTCCTCCAGCTGCAGGAGGAGATCCAGCAGCACCTGGAGGGGGACCCCAAAGCCCAGCAGGCTGCCAGGTAAAACCCTGCACCCCAAAACACCTCCCTGAACCCCAAAACCACCCCTCTGCACCCCAAACCACCCACTTGCACTCAAAACCATTCCCCCTGCACCCCAAAGCACACCCCCTGCATCTGAAAACACCCCCTCTGCGCCCCAAAACCATCCCCCCTGCACCCAAAAACAATCCACTACATTTCAAACCATCTCCTCTGCACCCCAAAACCTTATCCCCTGCACCTCAAAACACACCCCCTGCACCGTAAAACCACCCCCATGCACCCCAGAACCCACACGGCACCGCAAAACAACTCCCCTGCACCCCAAAACCTCCCTATGGAGTCCCTCACCCAAAACCCTCTCAAGGACCCCCTGAATGCGTCTTGCAGCCCGGTTTCTCCCCCTGCACCCCAAAACTGCCCCTGGGCTCTCCCCCATGACCTTTTCCTCCCCACTCCTGAACCTCAGAACCCTTTAGGGACCCTCTCTGTACTTTAAACCCCACTGGGTTTCCTTCTGAAGTGGGTGCTGGGCTCATAGGGGTCCTTAAAGCCCCCCCAGATTCTCCCTAAACCCAATGCTGGGACCTTTTGGGGTGCCCCCAATCCCTCCATGGTCCCTGCAGTCCTTTTATGCTCCCGTTCCCCCCCCCAAAAAGGGTTCTTGAACCCCTTTGGGCCTCCCAAACTCCCCTCAACATTTGGCTTTGGGGCCCAGTTGCCCCCCAGGTTGACGCTGGAGGCTGCGGGGCTCTCAGGGGCTCAGGAGGCCCTGATCCAGCAGGTCCAGGATCTACGGGGCAGCCCCATGGACTCCCCAGAAGCTGCCCTGGGGCCACTGAGGAGGCAGCTGCAGGAGGGGAAGCAGCGGCTGGTGGGTGCCAACGGGGGAATGTGGGGATTTCGGGGGGGTCCTGATGGGCTTGGGGGGGTCTGGGGGGTGGAATTTGATGGTTATGGGGAGGGGTTGGGGTCCCTAAAGGGTCCCAGCACCACTTTTTGGGAGGGATGAGGGATATCTGGGGGTCCTGGAGGGGGATTTTGGGTCTATAGGGGATGATCTGGGGGAGTTTGGGGCTTTAGGGGGGATTTGGGGGATTCAGCATTGCTGGGAGGGAGATCTGGGGTTCTGGATTGGTTTGGGGTGAAGGGAGAGGTTTTGGGGAGAAATATGGGGCGATATTTAAGGTGTTTGGGGGTCTTGAGGGGGTATTTGGGTCCCTCCCATGGCTTTGGGGTCCCTCATTTCCTTGTGTCCCCCCTCTCCACCCCTTCCAGTCCCGCTGCTGGATCCAGCTCCGGGCTCTGGCCCCATCCAATGAGAAGCTCCGGGCTCAGCTGTGCCCCCTGTAGGCCCAGGTGAGTAATGAGGGGGAGGGAAGTGGGGCGGGGCTTAATGGTGAGTGGGCGAGGCCTCAGAGCTTTGGCCACGCCCCTTTCAGGCCCGAGGAGCTGTGCGGCTCCCCCCAGGGCTGCAGGGGGAAGGGCAGCGGCTGCAGGAAGCGCTGAGCATGCTGGGAAAGGAGAGGGTGCCCCTCCCCCCAAGGTGAGTGAATTGGGGGGGGGGGGGGGGGAGGGTGGTGGGGGAGGAGGGGGAAGGGCTGTGCTGACCCCTCCATTCTCCCTCTAGCCTCGCCCACAGCCCACTGCAGCCAATCAGATGTGCCCTAGGAATGGCAGAGAGTGAGGTGGGGGAGGGGCCATAAAGGGGGAGGGGAATTGGAAGGAGGGGCCATAGAGGGGGAGGGGAATTGGAAGGAGGGGCCATAGAGGGGGCAGGGGTCATAAAGAGGGGGAAGGCCATAAAGGGGGAAGGGCAATGCGAGAAGGGGACATAAAGGGGGGCGGGGCAATGGAAGGAGGGGACATAAAGGGGGGAAGGCAACGGGGCCGTTGCTCAGGGGTGTTTGTGCCTCAGCCCGCACAGGGGGCGCTGTTCATGGTGGCAGAGCTGCAGGGGGAGCTGGAGCAGCTGCAGGAGGTGAGGTCAGCACAAGGGGCGTGGTCAGCGCAAGGGGCGGGACCCGAGAAGCCCTGCCCACCCCGCGGTGAGTGAGGGGGACGAGCTGGGGGGTGAGGGTGTGGCCTGCGCTGACCCCGTCCATTTGCAGCACCCGCGGAGGGCGTGGCCATGGCCGAGCTCCTCCCCCAGCTGCAGGCGCTGTCCATTCGGGTCCAGCAGTGCCTCGAGGGTCCTGGCACAGCACCATGTAAATACAGGAGGTCCTACAGTAAGAACATGCAAATACGAGTGGCTCCATGTTAATGACATGTAAATAAAGCAGGTCCTCCACTAAAAGGATGCAAATTAAGTAGGCCCTCCATTAATAACATGTAAATAAGGAAGTGTCTGTGTTAGTAACATTTAAATAAGTTCAACCATACATGAACTGCGTGTGAGCAAAGCAGGTCCTATGCTAATTGCATGTAAATGGGGGGGGTAACGGTGGGATGAGAAATGGAGAGGGATGGAGGGAGAGGGGGAGAAATGGCAGGAATGTGGGGAATGGGGGTGGGAAAAAGGGGAGGGGGAATGGGGGGCATAAGGGGGGGAGGAGAAGAGGGGACAAATGGGGGGCAGGGGCAAGGAAAAGCCCCATATTCAGGGCCATGGGGGGCCAGCCGTGATGGGGTTAAATGGGGACACGAGTTGGGGAGCTCAGAGCTGATTGGCTGTTGCCTGGGCAACGGTCGACAGAACAAGGTGGGGGGGGGGGGCAGGGTTGCCTGGCAACGCGCAGCGCGGTGGAAGCTCACTGGCAACGCGCGGGAAGCGGTACGAGGAGACCCTGTTGCCTAGCAACCAACCCGGAAGTGCGACGAGCATCGCCAAACGGGGATGGGGAAAGGCCGAAATGCGGGGGAAGGGGGGAGAAGAGGCCTCGATTTCCTGTGAAATTTTTATTTATTGGTTAATTTTCCGTTTTATACATTCTTAAGGTGACGCCTCCCGCCTTCCCTCCCCTTCCGCCCCCCACCTGTCAATAAGGCTTCGAATCGACCCCCCCCCCATCCCCCCTTTATCCTCCCCTCTCCCATCCCGGGTATAAAGAGGGGGGAGGTCCCCACCCCTGACACCCCCGGGTGGGGGATGGGAGGTTGTGTCCATTGAGGACCCTCTCCCCCTTGTTTTGGAAGCTGAGGGCACCCAGGGGTGCTCCGGGAGTCGCTGCGGGGGGACCAGCCTCTGCCCAGCCGGCTCGGGGAGGTCCCTCACGGGCTGCTCTTCCTCAGTGCCTTTGGTCCGGAGGTGGAGCATGCGAGGGGTCACAGCTCAACGTGGGCCATGGAACAGGGCGTCACGGCCACCTACAAGGAGTGGAGAGGGACCGACATTGGCACAGCAGAGAATCATGGAATCCCAGACTGGGCTGGGCTGGGCTGGAAGGGACCTTAAAGCTCACCCAGCTCCAACCCCCAAAGGCACGGGCAGGGACACCTTCCACTAGAGCAGCTTGCTCCACGGCCCTGTGTCTCTGTGCACTCCCAGGGCATCCTGGGGATACCCCTAGAGAATCCCAGAGAATGCCTGCAGCACCTCCAGAGCACCCCATGGACCCAGTCAGAGCTCCTGCATCACAATGACCTTGGGGACATGGAGACCACAGGGGTGGCTGATTCTGGAACTCCCCTTGTTCAGGTGCGTGAGGTCACAGAACCCCATGGAACCCTTCAGAGGAGGCACTGGAGACGACAGCTACCCCACGGAACACAAGCTACCGGTGGAGGAGGCAAGAGCAGCTCCTCTGGTGGTTCCTGTCTTGGTGTCTCGGAGCCGGTGGCGCCTGTGGACAGAGGAGCGTGCAACGAGGTGGGTGGCGATGGCGATCTTGGGGTGCTGTAGGAGTTGCCAGAACACCTCAAGAGACTTCCCCAGAGTGGCTGCTTTGGACTCGGTGTGTGAGTTGGGCTGGCTGAGCCGGCAGCGGAGCGCTGCGGCTTCCGAGGGATGATCCTGGGATCTGCCCTCATTTCTTGTGGGGAGAGCAAGGGCCTGTGGGGATGGGACAAGGGGGATGGCTTTAACGTGAAATAGAGGGGAGATTGAGGCAAGGCAAGGGTTAGGGTTAGGGTTAGGGTTAGGGTTAGGGCTAGGGTTAGGGCAGGAGAGACAGGCGAGACCAGGCCAGGAGAGGCAAGGCAAGAGAAGGTAAGGGAAGGCAAGGCCCATGAAGGGAAGGCCAGCCCGGGTCAGTCAAGGGAAGGCAAGGACAGTTAAGGCAAGGTAAAGCTAGGCAAGGCAAGGCTAGTCCAGGTCTAGACAGGCCATGCAAGGCCAGGTAAGGCTAGGTAAGGAAAGGCCAGGCAAGGCCAAGCAGGTCAGGTCCAGACCAGGCCAGGCCAGGCTAATAAAGGCAATACAAGGCCAGTAAATCACAGGGAAAGCAAAACCAGGTCAGGCCAGAAAAGGCCAGGCAGGGCCAGGGAAGACCAGGCCAGGTCAGGCCATGCGAGGCCGAGGCGAGGCAAGGCAAGGCAAGGCCACTCCAGGACAGGCAATGCTAGGCCAGGTAAGTCAGGGTAAAGCAATGCAAGGCACGGCCAGTCAAGGGCAGGCAACCCAAGGCCAGGTTAGGCCAGGTAAGTCAAGGCAAGGAAAGGCCAGGCAAGGCAAGGCAAGAAAGGCAAGGCAAGGGAAGGCATGGCCCGGCAAGGCAAGGGAAGACAAGGCAAGGCAAGAGAAGGCCAGGCCAGGCCAAGCCATGCAAGGGAAGACCAGACCAGGCCAGGCAAGGCTAGTCCAGGACTGGCCAGTCCATGCAAGGACAGGTAAAGGACAGGTAAGGCAAGGCAAGGCCCATACAGTAGTAGCAGCACAGGACAGGTAAGGGCAGGCAAGGGCAGGCAAGCTCAGGCCAATCAAGGCCAGCCAGGGCAAGGCCAGGCCAGGTTAGGCCATGCAAGGCAGGGCTTGGCAAGGAAAGGCAAGACCAGGCCATGCCAGTCTTGGTCAGGTTATACCAAGCACGGCCAGGTAAGGCCAGGCCAGGCACAGCCAAGCAGGTAAAGGCCAGGCCAAGCAAGGTCAGGCCAGGAGAGGCCAGGATAGGCCAATCATGGCAATGTAAGGACAGAAAAGGACAGTTTAGGCAAGGCCAGGCCAGGCAAGGATAGGCCAAGCAAGGCCAGGGAATTCAAGGCCAGGCCAGGACATGACAGGCCAGGCCAGGCAAGGCAATTCAAAGCAAGGCAAGGCTAGGTAAGGCAAGACAACGCAAGGCATAGCAAGTCCAGGACAGGCAATGCAAGGCCAGGTAAGGCCAGGCAAGGCCAGGAAAGGCAAAGCAATACAAGGCAAGGGGAGTTAAAACAAGGCAAGGCAAGGCACAGCTGGCAAGGAAAGGCAAGGCAAGGCACGTCTAGCAACGGAAGGCAAGGCAAGGCACATCTAGCAATGGAAGGCAAGGCAATGCAAGGAGACCACAGGACAGGCGATTCTAGGCCAGGTAAGGCCAGGTAAGGGAATACAAGGCACGGCCAGTCCAGGCCAGGCAAGGCAAGGCCAGGTTAGGCCAGGTAAGTCAAGGCAAGGAAAGGCCAGGCAAGGCAAGGCAAGGCTATGTAAGGCAAGACAATGCAAGGCATAGCAAGTCCAGGACAGGCAATGCAAGGCCAGCTAAGGCCAGGCAAGGCCAGGCAAGGCAAGGCAATACAAGGCAAGGGGAGTTAAAACAAGGCAAGGCAAGGCCAGGCCAGGCCAAGCAAGGCAATTCAAGTCAAGGCAAGTCAAGACAAGGCAAGGCAAGGCAAGGCTATGCAAGGAAAGGGAAAGCAAGGCAAGTCCAGGATAGGCAATGCAAGGCCAGGTAAGGCTAGGCCAGGCAAGGCAAGACAAGGCAAGGCAAGGAAAAGGAAGGCAAGGCAAGGGAAGGCAAGGCCAGGCCAGACAAGGCAAGGCCAGGCAAGGCAAGGTAAGTGTAGGCAAGGCAAGGCAAGGTAAGGCTAGGCAAGGCACAGCAAGGTAAGGCTAGGCAAGGCAAGGCTAGACAAGGCAAGGCAACACAAGGTAAAGCAAGTCCAGGACAGGCAATGGAATGCCTGGTAAGGCCAGGCCGGGCCAGGTATTACAAAATCAGGGCAATGCAAGGCCAGGCAAGGCAAGGCAAGGCAAGGCTAGGACAAGCCAGGACAGACCAGGCAAGGCAAGGCCAGGACAAACCAGGACAGAGCAGGCCAGGCAAGGCCAGGAAAAGCAAGGCAAAGCAAAGCAAGGCAAAGCAAAGCAAGACAAGGCAAGGCCAGTCCCGGACAGGCAATGCAAGGCCAGGTTAAGCCAGGCAAGGCAGGCAAGGCAAGGCAAGGCAAAGCAAGGCAAGCCAGGCAAGGACACGAAAGGCAAGGACAGGCAAAGCCAGGACAGGCAAGGCCAGAGAAGTTCAGGATTTGTAATGCCAGGCCAGGCTAGGCCAGGTACAGCCAGGCCAGATACAGCCAGGCCAGGCCAAGCCATTCAACGCAAAGGCAATCAAGGCAAGGCAAGTCCAGGACAGGAAAGGCAAGGCCAGGCCAGGCTAGGCCAAATCATACAAAACCAGGCCAGGCAAGGCCAGGCAAGGCAAGGCAAGGTAATACAAGGCAAGGCAAGGAAAGGCAAGGAAAGCAAGGAGAGGCAAGTCAAGTCAAGGAAAGGCGAGGGAAAGCAAGGCAAGGCAAGGCAAGGCAAGTCAAGTGCTGAACGTCCAATGCAAGTCCAGGTAAGGCCAGTCAAGGCCAGGCCAGGCCAAGCTAGGCCAGGCCAGGCAAGGCAAGGAAAGGCAATACACGGCAAGGCAAGGCAATGCAAGAAAGAATAGTCTAGGACAGGTAATGGAAGGCCAGTTAAGGCCTGGTAAAGCAAAATAAGGCAAGGCAATGCATGGCAAGGCTAGGCAAGGCAAGGCCAGGCAATGCCAGGCAAGGCAAGGCTAGACCAGGCAAGGCCAGGAAGGGACAGGAAAGTCAAGGCAAGGCAAGGAAGGCTAGGCCAGGCAAGGCAAGGCGAGGGAACACAAGGCAAGGCAAGGCAAGGACTGTCTAGGACAGGTAATGCAAGGCCAGGTAAGGCCCGCTAAGTAAGGCAAAGCAAGGCAAGGCAATGCAAGGCAAGGCAAAGCAATGCAAGGCCACTCCAGGACAGTGAATGCTAGGCCAGGTAGGGCCAGGTAAGGCAAGGCCAGTCCAGGACAGGCAACACAAGTCCAGATAAGGCCAGGTAAGGCAAGGAAAAAAA